GGCACACAGCTAATTCGAGTAACTGGAAAGGTGTGCACGGGACTCCAGGCCTGGCCTGGGTACCCGCCTAAGTTCAAAGCAGTGATTGTCATCGGGAAGGCAGGTGGGGGTAGAAGGGGTAAATATTTGAATCACTTGGAGAATCTTTTCAAAACACAAATTTCTCTACTCTGGACCTATCGAGTCAGAATTTCTGATAATGAGATTGAGAACAAGCATGGGAACACAAACAATGCTAATACGCCCAGCCTACTCCCTTCCTTACTGTTGTGGAGACCTAGTATCATGTGCCATTATCCAAGGAGAAGGAGAAGGGAGAGAGTAGATTCACACGCAAAACATCAAATCATGTCAACAAGGGAGGAAGTCTATATGTATGTTATAAACATAATCTCCGAAGAGTATCTTCCTATACAAACATATATACACCAGAAGCAGTTTTCCTTTACTCCCCCACTCCCTTTAGTTGGATACAATATATTAGGTGAATGAATATATCTATTCACTATTTTTTCTAATTAGTCTTAAAATCAAACAGGTACTATTATCTCAAATGTACAGACAAGGAAACTAACAGATGCGAAAGAATAAGGTGTTCATGTTCGTCTAGCCCAGTGGTTCTCAACCTTCCTAATGCCGCGACCCTTTAATACAGTTCCTCATGTTGTGGTGACCCCCAACGAAAATTATTTTCGTTGCTACTTCATAACTGTAATTTTGCTACTGTTATGAATCGTCATGTAAATATCTGATATGCAGGATGTATTTTCAGGGGTCGTGACCCACAGGTTGAGAACCGCTGTTAAGACTAAACAAAGAAGTAGAAGTGGAGGTGGACAGAAATAGGATTCAGATGTACCAAAAGGAGAGGACCAGCGAACTTGGTAAGTGTCTGGATGTGAAAGGTGGTAAAAGAGACGCCAAGGATGACATCCAGATTTCTCACTTTTCTAAATCTCTCTGACCCACCCACTTGTTTCCATCCTTCTACCACCTTAGGCGACCCCTGTGAAAGGGTTGTTTGACCCCCAAAGGGGTCTCGACCCACAGGTTGAGAACCGCTGGTCTAGCCAGTACGTGGTGGAATGTGCTTTCCACATACCCCTGCTTGTTAAGACCCTGTAACATAAATATGAGCATAGGTGAGTAACTCTGGGAAAATATTAAAAAGAAGAGATTACTGAGATTAAAACAATATTCAGAGAAAAGTGAACGCGAATGGCCCCCACATGTCTGCAGAATGAGGAGGTGAGGGTCAGGGCGTTGCAGGGGGGAGAGGGGGAATATTCAATCACGTCAGTAAGGGGTGGGATAGGGAGGAACAGACAGGAGCCACAGAGCCTGGGATTCCAGAGGAGAGGGGAGGCAGGAGGGCAGGGACCCAGGTGGCCTGAAAGGGAAGAAGAGGAGCAGGGCTGCACCCCCAGAGGAAAGAGGCCAGAAAAGTTGTGGATGTAGAAGCAGGAGGGAGCCCTGCCCCCCAGGCTGGCGGCAGAGAGAGAGGCGAGGGCTCTGAGAGGTGCAAGCACTTCTGAGCCTCCACAGCTGTGAGTGGCTGATCCGGGCTGCACACCGGGGTCCCGAGTGCCTGTGCTTTGTCTGACTCCAGCGATGGCTTCCCTCGCTTGCCTTTGTGCACCAGTGTCTAAGCAAACCCTGATATGACTTCTTTCTAGTTAAGTGCCCTCCTTGAAAAGTAATTTTGTCACAATTAACTTGACGGATGCTCCAGACAAGGCAGCTTTTCACATTAAATTAAGTTGTTTCCACTTCTCCACAGTCCGCCCTTTGCCTCCAAACCACACTCCCCCAAGTCCCCGATTAGTTAGGATCTGTGGTCTTTGCCGCCCAATGGGAACTATGATTGGGGAGGAATCCCTCACTTTCTTGGTAACTATGTACGACTGCCATCCATCTGGGTCTGTCCCCCTCTCCCTCAATTATCTTTCTAAAGAGAGCGCTCGTTTTTCCTTCTGGGGTTTTCAGCTGCTGACTGATTGAGAAAGAGCACACACTAGGAAAAACGGATTTTTTATTCCGACCAATTGAAGCCTTCTGTAAACCCAGTGCAGAGCCCAGCCTCCCTTCCTCGGGGCAGCGGGGGTTCATAGTCCCAGAAAACGCCCTGGGCCGCTGACCGCCGGGCCCCTGGTGCCCACCGAGTCGCTCTCCACATGCCATCTGTATGCCAACGACAGCGCTTTCCCTGCTACGACCCCATCACGGAGACGCCATGCAAACACCCTAACGCAAGAGCCCACAGATGTTCAGGAAAACACACAATAATCCGTGGCTGATTAATTTAATATCCTTCGGAGACATTCTATAGATCACGGGGCTGCTGTGCTGTTCTGGGAGCCATAAGCTCCGCCACTCCCGCTCGGTAATGCTTCATTTTGATTCATCTCAGGGCGAGGCAGATGATCCCCAAACGAGTGAACCAAGGGGCTGGCACATACATCATCGCCTCCCTGATAAGAATATCAGTGCCTGGAAGAGAAGCCTTCAGCAGCAAGGTTGAAAGGATACATGAAAGGACAAATGATGTGGGGGACGTGTAAGCCATTTCACATCTTGCCAAATGGCTCTGTGTGTTGGTAATTTTTTTTAAGAGTACAACTTTTTTTTTTTTTATTTCTATGTTATGTGCTTTCTATGGTATTTGCCTAGGAAATAAATCATGCTTTAGCATCCCATAAAATAAACAAAAGAAACAAGTATCTATCTAAAATCTGGCAAAAATGTACTTATTATGCAGATTTTTTTGTTGCTGTTGCCACATCCAAGTAAGCATGTCTATAGCGAAGGTTGACACACTTTTTTTCCATAAAGGGAGCCAAAGAATAAATATTTTAGGCCTCTCGGGCTATATATTTTCTGTTTCGACTAGTCAACTCTGCCATTGTAACATGAAAGCAGCACGGGTAACATGTAAGTGACTGATCATGACTGTGTTCCAATAAAACTTTATTTACACAAATAGGCAGTGGGCCAGGTTTAACATATAGGCTGTAGTTTGCTGGCCCCTAGAACAGCGGTTCTCAACCTGTGGGTCGAGACCCCTTTGGCAGTCGAACGACCCTTTCACAGGGGTCGCCTAAGACCATCCTGCATATCAGATATTTACATTACGATTCACAACAGTAGCAACATTACAGTTATGAAGCAGCAACGAAAATAATTTTATGGTTGGGTCACAACATGAAAAACTGTATTTAAAGGACCAGAAGGTTGAGAACCACTGCCCTAGAATGTAAGCTACATAAGGACAAGTGAGTATGCAAAGTTGGCTGATGATTGATGGAGGGAAATAGCTACCGTTATTGAGAACTAATTTTGTGCCAGTCGTTGTGCTCAGGATATATAAACATTGTCCAATGAGGTGGGTGTTTCGACCCATTTTATAGATTGAGAAACTGAGGTCAGGAAGCTACGTAGCTTACCGAAGATCACCTGGCTGAGTGGTGGAGTCCTCTGGCCTGCCTTTCTGTTGGTGAGGCTGTGGCATGATGAGTGCAGTGAGCACTCGAAGGCACAAAGCTGGGGTCCGTGTCACACCACTTATGAAATACTTGGGCTCAGGACCCCCAGAATTGTACTCTCAATTTCACCTAAAAGCTGAGCTGCTAAGCAGTCTTGGAACAAGAATTGTCCCTGGTGTCACGTTGTCTAGGGGACTGGTGAGGGGTGTGTGTGCCCCAGAGCCCGAGTGCCCAGGCCCAGCTCTTGGTCCTGCTGTTCCCGGGTGTGACTGTGCCGGTTGGTTTATGTCTCCGCACGTCAGCGTCCTCGTCTGCTGACTGGGATAGTGGCGTTGCTGCGCAGGAGGGCTGTTGAGTGGATTAAAGGAATCGATACAGGTGAGATGCTTAACACGGTGCATGATGAGTGTTGCTATTTTAACACCAAATATAGGTCATGGCAAAAAGAGGCTGTTTGCCATGTGACTGGCTGACAAGACTTGTGATCGGTGGGCAGGCAAAGGAGAGAAGGAAGGAAAAGAAAAACCATGGGCAAGATGAAGAAGGGAGAGAAAAAGTAGTGGGAATGTGTAGACGGATGGCATGCGTGGGCTAGGAGCAGTTGTTGGGAAAATGGCATGCATTGCATGCCGTGATCATATCTGAGCTTGCAAAAAAAAAAAATGATTATGCGCAGAACCCCTGGTGCCTCTAGGTATATTTGGTATATATCCTTCCAGAATTTTATATCTATGTGTCCCAGAGAAATGTCCTATGTGTTTCAGACTTTCTTTTAATATTAAAATAGTGATCCTTTGAGCTGCACTCGAGGTGAATGAAGGCGGGCCCGCCCCTTCTGAAATGTGTCTGCCTGGGGAAGGACCGCACGTTCCACCAGCCCGCCCTGGTCGCTCTCCCCACCTCTTGCTCTGACAGCTGGGCTGGGCTTCCCTTTCAGCATCTGTGAGTGCTCTGCTGGGCTTCTGCGGCTCGCTTAAGCCTGCTTTGCTGCAAAGCCTGGGGATCAGCCCCTCCCGTTATTCCCCATAGCCCAGCCAGCACAAGGCAGTCATGTCTAACAGCCTTTAAATGTCTTGAGGATCACACAAGGGAATTCTAGTGCAGGGAAGGAAACTTACAGCTGAGTATCGACATTGCGGTGTCCAGCATCCGGTAACCACGCATATCCCACTGGTCATCTCTTTCTTAAACCCTGACTTTGTTTCTTTCTTTTTTAAAAAATATATTTTTATTGATTTCAGAGAAGAAGGGAGAGGGAGAGAGAGATAGAAACATCAATGATGAGAGAGTATCATTGATCGGCTGCCTCCTGCATGCCCCCTACTGGGGATCGTGCCCACAACCCGAGCATGTGCCCTTGACTGGAATTGAACCCGGGACCTTCCAGTCCCCAGTCCAATGCTCTATCCACTGAGTCAAACCAGCTAGGACTTAAACCCTGACTTTGATACTACTGAGAAAAAGTCTCAGTAGACAGCATAATGATGATGACTGATGAGATTGTACGCCCTAGGAAGGTGGGAGCTGCCAGTATGTGTCTGTTGCTTACTAACTGTCTCCCTGCACTTAGCACAGTGCTTTGACACATAGTGGGGGCTCTGTAAAACGTGCTGTTTGAACACATGGAGGAGCTCCGTGGAGGTCCCCACAGCCCATGATGAAGGCAGACTTTGGTGATATTAAACAGAATTTTTCTTTCGCAGTTGGATTTGGCTTGTTCTGCTGGTTCAGAGCTTCCCCAACGACAGTGACCTTAGCGCAGAACATCTCCCTGCCCCGTAACCCCTGACAAATACCAATTTCAGCTTCTCTACTGGAATTGAGAATCTGCTGAAGTATTAAAAATAGCATTATTTTTATCCCCCAAAATATGTTGAATATATTATTTTACATAGTCAAGATCATTGCTCTGTATCATATTTTCTTCACTCCCCTCTGCCTATGAAAGCATATGTCAGCATGATTTTTAACGACTGCACGAATGTCCCATAGACTGTGGTAGATGTACATAATTTTCTTAATCATTCTTCTTTCACTGTACATGTTGCTAATTATAAAGCCAGTTGGTCCTCGAGCAGTAAGGGTTTGAACTGTGTGGGTCCACTGATAGGTGTATTTTTTTCAATAACTATCAGGACTGTCTTCAGTCTATGATTGGGAATCCACGAACGGGGAGGGCCAATTGTATGCATTGGGCTGTGCCATTTATATAGGGGGCTAGAGCACCCATGAGTCTTGGTATCCACAGGGGGTCCTAGAATTAATCTCTTGAAAATGCTGAGGGACAACTAAGGTTTTGAGGAGTCAAAAATTACAAATGCATTTTTGACTGCACAGGTCGGCACCCCTAAGCAACATGTTGGTCAAGAGTCCACGGTAGTGTGACAGTGAACATTCTTATACTTAAATCTTTGTCTGCGGTTTATACTGTTTCCTTAAGATAGATGGCTGGGAATGAAATGTTGGGATCAAAATGTATGAATATTGTTATGGCCCTTGTACTTCTGCCAAATCGCTCTCCAGAAAGATGATCCCAATTTATACTCTCACCATAAGGTATGAAAGTGCTTATTTCATCAAATTCTTCCCAGTATTATATCATTTAAAAAATCTCCTTTAGTCTGATAGGTAAAAAAAAGAAAAAGAAAAAGATTGTTAGTGTTATTTTACACTGTGTGCCTTTGATTACTAGTGAGTTGGAAGACAGTTTTAGGAGCCAGGTTAGTGTTTACGGTGCCCAGCCATAACAGACACTACAACCACAACCATGACTATGTGTGAGCTTCCTGCGTGTGATTGCCTTTAAGACCAGTGCCCCTGCTGCTGAACAGAAGGCCAGGATGGGTTGGGCAGCCCCGTTTCCGCCATATGTTTGGTGCTTATTATTAAGCCCAACTACTGAGCAAAGGAAGACATAATTAGCCATTTTGGGAATTATTTTAAGCCTTCCGCAGTAAAAGGCCTAAAGTTGATTTACTTCCCAGAATTCTATTTGTATTTGATGCCTTTTTAAGTCAAGTCAGACCACATGACCGGACAGGCATGGTTTCAGCCTGAAGTCAAGGAGTCTCTCCAGGTCTAGGAGACGGTCCAGAGTAATGGCCTCGGCGCCTTTGCCGTCTCTAAGATGCCATTTGAAGGCAAAGGAGTGGGTCATGTGACAGGAGGTAGCACCACTGAGGCACAACCAGGGACAGCACACGTGGGATTGATCTCTCATTACCGGTGGCTGACGCGGAGGCACTGAGCCCTGGGTAAGAGCCACGAGCTCAGCCGAGGGGAACTTGGCCTCTGCTTCTAAGGTGGGAATTAGGAGAAGGCGCTCTCTGTGATAAAGGCATGTTCTTTCATGGGACTGACTTCACCGAGAAAGCTGCTTTTGCCAGGAACTCTCCCAGGCCAGACCTGACTGTGTGCTTCCAAACAAAAGCCGTTTGCTTCGAAAGCCGGCCCCACAGTGTTGTGCTTCCAAGGACTGCAGTGTTTTGCGATGAGGAGAGCGGATTTTCACCCCCAGGGAACTTGGAAACGCGGTGTAATTCCCATCCTTCCTGTCCACCCACATGGCTGTCTCGATGATTTTGCTCCTTTGGGCTGTTGCTCATCGATAGCACATTTGGAAACAAAACCCGGAGGCTGACACGGGCCTGCACGCATTCGCACGGTCCTCCGAAGCCAAGGCGATCAGCACTGCGGATGTCCCCCAGGGCAGCGGCCCACCCACCTCGGCAGCTCCACACACACAGGACGAAACTCGTGGGCTCTGGAAGCAGACACTGCAGCTGGGTTCACGGCCTTCTCTTTTCATGAACCAGTTAGGGGCCAAGATGAATTAAAACCAAAAGTCTGTGACTTTTGAAGATAACAGAAGGATAACCAATTCCAAAATGTTCCTCATTCTTGGAACGGCAGCCTGTTGGAGGAAACCAGAAGTGAGAATATAAAAATCTGCCGGGTAGAAGCGCGTTGCCAGAGGCCAGGCCTACTGCCTGCCATGCACATATTTACTGGGCAGACGTGGTATGTTTTGAATGAACAGTTGGATGTATGTACACAGGAATGAATGACGGGAATCACTTCCCTCCTCGGTGCTGCCCGTGAGGGGCAGCGATGCTGGCTGCTTAGCCCTGTGCTGAGTGCCTCCCCGCCTCTTCTCGCGCCTTCTCCACCGCCCACTGCAAGGCAGGGATGGCTATTTCTGTCTCAAACACGTGAAGACTGAGGCTTAGGGAGGAAGATGGCAAGTGTCAGGACCAGCAACCCAAGTCTGCTGGATTCCAAAGCCCGTGCTCTTAACCCACACCTGAGACTGCTGCTCACTCAACAGGAGGTCACGTTCAGCGAAAGGTCACCATCTTTTTGTGGCTCCATTAGGGTTTCCTGAGCCACTGAAACTGATGTCACCAGGCTGGGAGGGCTCCTGAGAGGTCACTGGGCCCGGGCTCCCCCATCTTGTCGGGGGAGAATCCGAGGTGCTGTGGTCACCGAGCTGACATCGGAGGGAAGGTCAAAATGGGGATCGTGTGAACTAAAATAATAAATTTGGACCATGCATATTGTCTAAAAATCACTTAAACCAACACCATGGTAGAACCATGCTTGTGCACATAACTCCTACAATAAAAATAAATGTGAAGAGGGCAGATATGTGAGGAGTGGTTTCATTTAAAAACATCATTAAAATGGTGAGAACAGGATGGACTTACTGACTGTGAAATATCTTCAGCAAGTATTTGAACATCGCCTTTGAAATAATCAATGTGTGTGCTGCTTCTATGTTCTTGACAGGGGAAGGAACGGACATGTCACCTGTTAAAAGTTCAACACGGACAATATCAGCCACCAACGCCTGCTGGTTTAACAGTGGAGTGCTGTCTAAACAGGTCTCCTTTGCCCCCCGTTCCCCCCCGGGCCTGCTTTCATTATTCTAACTGAACCCTCAGCATCCCTCAGTGGGACCAATGCGACCGCCTCGGGTCAGACGACTCCCCTCTGGTCCTGTCCCTCCGGGTCTCTAAGCCCCGTGTTTGTCTAAATGCAGCCTGACCATGTCCACTCCTCTGTGGGAACCTGAGCGGGCTCCTCACTGCTCAAAGCGCCTTTGCACGGCTTCCCAGCCTCCTCCCCTGCCTCTCCTGCCTCTCTCCTTGTGCATCAGCCACATTTATAGCCAGAAAAGACTCCCCATGCAGAAATGACCCTACATGAAAACCCACTGTGCCCCAAAGTTACACATCACACGAGGGGGTCAGCCAGGACCTCCCTGCAGTTCTGCGCTTCTGTGACTGGGCTACAACTCACAACTTACAGCCACCAACATGCTTCAAGCGCTGAAACTCCACGTGTTTATGAAAGAGGCACATTAGCTTTAAGAAACACTAAGAAAGAATTTCTCAGGGAGGATGAAAACATATAGCGAATGCTCTCCACCCTTCATGCTGGTCCAGATTCCTGCGATGACAGCGCTGCCCGTCTGCTTGTGACTCTGCACACTGGTGTGAGCAGAATGAGAAAGTACATGAGGGCAGGGTCTTGGAGAAACTGTGGAGTAAACTGTGGTGGTTATTAATTTTGCCTGTTTAGAAAGCTCTCCCACCTGGAGTTGCCAGGTTAAATCCAGGATGTGTTTTTTTGCTAAGTCTAGCGACCCTACTCATCACCCACCCCACTTTTCGGCTCATAGATGCCACCTCCCTGGCTCAGGAGTAAATATGCGCCCAACTCTCATTCCTACAGAGGTCAGCCCAGTCGTGTACACGTAACCCAATGAGGGCCAGACTCATTTCTTGGGATGGAAATATGGCCTTTGGCTATGATTGTTAACTCGGGGTTTCTGGCAGCCATGCCTCCTGTTACAAAACCAGTGAGACCAAAAATGCCAAGAGACCAGGAGATTGGCAGTGAGCAGAATGGACACAGAGAAAGAACGCTGGTGGCTTTGAGTCCCCAGTTAGTTTCTGAGACCCTGGTTCCTGTAGCTTTTCCTTTGGGGCTCTGTGCTCCCCATTCCAGTTACCAGAACTGATAAATCCTGTTGTACTCCATCAACCATTCTGAGTGTGGCTTCTATTGTTCCTGAAAGAGCTCCGCACTCATACATAGGGAATCCTGGTACCCGGCTTTATCTTTTCCTTAAGTAGCACATGAGAAATAGAGAAGGGCATATAGAATAGAGGTGGGCGGTGCCATGAGCAGAGTTCACCTTTTTTTTTTTTTTTTTTTTTTT